TGCAGATGTACCTCAGACATTTTTCACTTAATGTCTCGCACTCTACATGAATATTAAACCAATACGAAGTACAACAACATAATATGTAGGACTTATTTCTACTGTCACTTACATCGTAAAAATATCTCCTCTTCAACTTGAAAAAATACCAATGTTGATGCTCCGGAGTATACTCTTCAGGGACTCTACACCAAGGAAGGGAGGGGCCAAAATGCGATCGAACCCCCCGCAATGACAAAACAGTAGTCAAAACCACGCAGCTAAACAACGTGGCATGCATGCTGTCAGCAGTACGTTTGTTTTTCTCCCATCATTGGACTCTGTCGTCTGCCCCACTGGCCCCTATCCTCCTCTGCTACTAGCTAGACGACCCAACCGGGGTCACATAGGAGGGGGGGGCTGGACCCCCTCCTGCGGTTCATGCCTGAGGTATTTTTATCGCGAGAAGGGTACAGCAATCCCTTCCCTCGCGACATACGAAGTCAATAGTGGTTTACTACCAAACGAACTTTGCAGCGCGTCGCTTTCTTCATCCTAGACCAGGATTTATTTAGTGAGAAAAAAACTCTCTCTGCCGGGACTCGAACCCATGACTTGGCCCTTAGTAGGCCGCGAGGCTACCCACTAGACCACCGGGGCGACCAGTCGTATCCGCCGACGAAGGCACCTCACACATCGGCGGCTCCGCGTGTTCTTCTTCTGCCCTCCTGAGATTGCAGGGGCACGTTCCAGGCCCAGATGATGCGCCGCAGCTCCAGGTTGTGCCTGTTCCTCGTTTTGGATTCGGCCTTGGCGGCCGCCTCCGGAACTGTCGCAGCGGCACCGCCTACCCGGACCCCTGCGGCGTTGCCGTCATCCTTTCCCGCCCCCGCCCCCACCGAACACGGCGATGCCCGTCAAGGCGTCGACGTTCGTCGCCTTCGCCTTGGAAACACGGCCCTTGCAGCGGGCGTTTGTGAATACAATAGCAAGGGCGAGGAAGCGTGGGGCGGTTACAGGGGCAAGCCCAGAATGCCTCATAACTTTCTCATAACTTTGGGCTAAAGTGCATGAGTGAGGTGGTGTTAATCGATTGTGCTGAAGGAAAACGTTTACCGAGGGCTGGGCTGGATTGGCCGTTTGGCGCCAAACCGGAGCACTTGGTTCTGCAAACCACCACAATAGCGTAGTGAACTAGTCGATTTCCTGCCACAGCGGAAGGGGGGTATCCCGAAGCACGCGCAGTCTGTACGAAATTCTGTCCCCGGTTGAACGAGCATCTAAAATGCCTCGTTCGTTAGCCTGATAGCCCACAACGTGGGCTACCGCGTTCTAAATCTACAGCAGGTTTCAAGAGCGACTCTCCTGCAGCAGTCGTTTAACAAATACGCGAATGTTACTTTTGGGGTCGGGTGGTCTTTTAGGTTAGCTGTTTCTTCGCATATCCAGCGGAACTATGTCCGGGAGAGTTTTACATACAAATTACCGCCAAGGTTCGGCACCGTCTGGATCTACAGCCCTGAAACGAGGTCCACATGGCGCGCGTGCTACAACACCTCTAACCCTACGCACGCAACAGGGCAGGCAGGGACCGAACGTGCGCTCGCCCCGCGGTCAGGCAGATTCCACCGCGCGATAGTGAGCAACCAGACACACGGTGATGCGCAACGATGAACGACTGCTGACCTGGCTGCGGCGCTGGCCTGTTCCGCCGGAAAATCTCCCCCGTCCGGGTGCTGAAGTAGCCATGATAGCAGCGCATTCATGTCTAAGCCGACGAAGGACGTGCTACTGCTGTGGATGTGCTCCTGGAACAACATTGCTATCATTTGAGGGGACGAAACATTGGGTGGGGGGTGTACTCATAGTCGTGCATGCCGTAGTCGTTAGACCATTGACCTCGCATCCCTACAAAGCTGGGACGGAGCACGCCGGGTTCTCACCGGACCAGGCTCTCACATCACCAAGCGCGAAGCGCCGTGGGATATTCGGCGAGTCGCATAAAGGGTGCGCTGCATCCTGCTAAGCGTGTTCGGCATCTTGTGCTTACTTCCTTGCGTACGGATGACAGCTGCGTATGACATAATTTATTTTCTGGTGCTTCCACTTCCAGAGACAGTTATAAGCACTGTGCAATTGCCTCGAGGGTGCTTGACCATTTGAACACAACGTGGTGCGATCATCCCCCTTGCGTGGAGTGAGGGTTCGCCACCCCGCACAACATGATCCACTCGACAATCATTATGGTTACCGCCAAAAAAAAAACGGAGGTAAAAAAAAAAAAACGGCAACCTGGTTACCGAGCTCACGAAGTGAAGTGGCTTGTTTTACAACGTCGTTGCCAAGCGACGAAAACCCAATCCCGATGACAAACACCGATGGGGGGCCTTGATTTACAACGTCGTTGCCAAGCGACGAAAACCCAACCCCGATGGCAAACACCGGGGGGGGGGGT